CTAAATATCTGATACCCCAAAACCCCAAAACCCCAAAACCCCATATTAGCATTATTGTAAGTTAGCGGTAAATTATAAAAGTCTAATAATTAAGGAGAATTTAAAAACGTAAATTATTCGAATAGTATCATACGAACTTGAAAGACTCGTTTTGTTAGGGTATCAGATATTTAGGGACATCAGCAAACTTGACTGGTACCTTATAAGTACCAGGGCCTGGATTTTCGTCTATCTTGACTTTAAGTCTTTGAGTTTGAGTAAAAGTAATACCAAGATTGCTATTTTCTTTGGGATCATAAGTGCCTGGTCCTGGAACTATTCTTCTTGAACTGAGATCTCTAGCAGTTTTGGGTCCATTCCCGAAACCAAATGATGGCTACTTTTTCTATCTATAATTTAAACCAGCTATAAGAGAATTATAGGCATCAGGACCTGGATTATCAACGGGCTTATCCTATCTATATCTTCCACTAAGAGAGAATTATCTTCCCTCAATGGCTTTCTAGGGTATCTGATAAGTTCCTGGGCCAGGAATGTTTTTTGATTACCCCAGGGTTTATCTCTCACTGCTACCAAAAATTGGTCTCGGATCTTTTTTGAAAATTAATGATGTATCACTAGAATATTGATTAGGAGCGGGTAAAGTTTTATCAGTGCTAGGGATTCCGATTCTTTTCGAGGTACCTATCCTGCATGTACCATTATGTCTCATAGTCATATAGAATTTAGCTTAATCATAAGTTCCAGGGCCTGGGGTATCCTTAGATACTTAAGGCGATGTGTCAGGTCTTCTTGGGCTCATAGTAATAGATTTTCCCTCAGATCCAACAATATTCTTAAGCTCATATGTTCCTGGGCCTGGATTAAATTTAGTTTTAGTGTCATAGAAAGTGTTCTTATCTCTGTTTGAGGATCCGAATACTGGCTGAGGATCGTTTCTTGTTAGTACCTTATAATTTCCCTAATATGAGCCTGGTCCTGGGACGTTTCTTCCAGGGAGAGTGATATCTTTTTCTGGATCTACTCTCTTAAATTTGTTAAAGGTTGCAGGCCCTGAGATTTAGCTAAAAACAGTTTTGTTTTAATAGGTACCTGGGCCTGGACCCTCCCTATGAGTAATGCTTCCTTTACCTTTCAATCCCATACTAGAATTATTATATTAAAAAAGTTGATAAATTTACGAAAAAGCTATAGTAGAGAAGGCATCCGATTTCGGCGAGTAGATTCCTGGACCTGGAACATCTTTTGAAGTAATCATCATTTCAGAGGCAGTAGTTTTCATTCCTATTATGTATTATGGTCCCTCAACAATTTTTTCTGGAATATTATATTATCCTGGGCCGGGCTTAGTTTTGTCAACATCAAAAGTCTTTCTTTAAGATTTCCCAATTCTAATGATTTCATATTTATTGAAATCAAACTTACACCCATTTAGGAGGAGATTTTTCAACAGTTTTTTTCTCTGGTGAATATGCTCCTGGGCCAGGTAGCTATTTTTTATTCTCAGAGATGTCTGGGCCTAAATTCATAAATCTTTAATTTTCTAAGTACATTTCTAAGAAGAGCCCATACTAAATGCTTGTGACATAGAGCTGTTAATTAAATTAAAATAATTATTATAGGCTTCCATTTTTTATTAGATCTTGAAGTTAGGGGTTTTGGGGTTTTGGGGAGATCGGAAGAGCAAA